GGGGCGGGGGGGAGGGGGGTTGGGCAGCCCCGGCGAACCCCGCGGAAAGTTGTCCACGTTTCGTTTGGTGTCGCTGGGTCCCGCCTTGAGCCGGTCCCTTCAGCCGCCGGGCCGGGGGAAAGCGATTTGGCTATAGGGAGGGTGGAGGCGGGCTTGGGCGCTGTGCGAGTCCGGGGGCTTCGTTTCCTCGGAGTTTGGGGAAGCGACTTCTTTCTCTTTGCAAGGGAGCGCAGCCTGCGTGAGGGGGCAGAGCGGCGGGGGGGGGGGGGGGGAAACTTCAGCTCGATAAAGAGGGGTTAAAGTGGAACGTCATCATTCATTTTTACTCCTTGACGCTTCAAGAGATTTGTGCTTTTTGTCACTTCCTGAGTCCTAACGACTGGAAAGGAAGAACACCTAAAATGCAGTGCTTCATCCTCTTCTAGTAGAACTTTGGCCCTGACAGCATGTATGTGCCTTGAGCCCGTGCAGGCCTGTCTCAAAAAGATCATGGCAAGCTGAACTTCAGTAGAACTTTGGCCCTGACAGCATGTATATGCCTTGAGCCCGTGCAGGCCTGCCTGTCTCAAAAAGATCATGGCAAGCTGAACTTGGCGTTCTTCACGTTTCCAGTATGTACACAGGTGTAAGCAGTGAAACGGGGCGTAACGCCATTTAAAAGAAAACTTTTGCAAGTCAAGCCCGATTTGGCTTCAAAGAAAGCCCGACAGGCTCAGACTTTATGTGTGAGCCTCCAAAAATCATTTGGCCTGTCAGTTTCACGAGCTGAAAATACCTGTATATACACACACACACACACACAAATCATGTCTTTTTTTTATACTCTGAGACTGGAACTTAACTTTTATCAGTTCTGCTGTGCCTGTCTGAAGAACCTGTGCTCCTCAGTCTGTAGAATGAATGTCTTCTGAATTTGGTCACATTTGAAAAATACTTTGATATTTCTTCATAGCAGCTCATTTTTCACTTGGAAACTTTATCAGTAAAATTTGATAGAGTGATCTTGTTTTAAAGTTTAACAACCTTCTTGCTAAATAGGAAAATGGTGTAATTCTGGTTTTCTATGTAATGCAGAGGTCTACTTATCACAATTTGGTATGAAATTTCACATACCTTGGTGTCCGTCTGACTGTCCCTTCATTTCAGGTGACTCAGTGAGGCTAATCTTTTTCTTCATGTTAGCTTAAAGAAAAAAAAAAGTTAATTGTTTACTTGATTCCAGTAATGCAATGCATATTACAGATACTGTCAGTTATGTAACTTTTTATAAGCAGATCTTGTAGTTATTTCTTGATTTTTAGTTTTTTGTTAATTTTTTGCTAGCGAGGACCTTTATCAAACAAGTAAGTCCTCCAGATACAAATTCACTTGTTTGTCATACGTGAGAGAAATACTGAGGAAAGTGACACATTCTTTTATAGTTTCTCTTAATATTTCAGAATTCTACTGATGCAGCATTAGCTCTTTCTATGGAGTTATGATACTGTACTGAGAATTGCTGTAGAGATAATCGGCTGCTGCTCTCACTTGTATGGTTACTGACACTTTATGCAGAGGCGGCTCTTATTTTTAAATGGGAATTATGAACATCTTTCATTATTAATTCTCTATTTAGTTTTATATAATTGTTGATGTATTTGGGATACTTCTTGTGCTTTACAAAGTTGTCCAGTATTTGCTGAATGTATCTGCTGGCCCTGGATGTTTTGTACTACAGTTTATTTGAATGTGGAAGGGAAAAAGGTAAGGAAAATGGAAGAAAATACCTCAGTGGTAACTTTGGGGAGTAAAACTAGTATCTCAAAATTCCAACAAGTGTAAAATTCCAGTGGTGCGTATAGGTCTGCTTAATAATGTAGAGTGTCCTGATGTATCCTCTGTATCCAGAGGAAGCTTTTAAGGGAAAGGTGGAGGCAAGTTAAAGACAAACTGTAGTCTTGTATGCCAAGTACATGTTAAACCATGTAGCACGTGATCCATCTCTGCAGCCTTTCCTTTCTGTTTCTTTCCTCTTGTTCAGATTGCAGTTGAGTATTGTAGTTTGCTTCATATAGCAGGCAAATTTATATAGCTGTAGGAATAACCAAGGAGAAAAAAAGTAATTGTTAAGTAGGGGGAGGCACTGTGACTACTTGAACAGCATGAAACAGAATGTCGCTTACCTTTTGGTTTCTTCAGATTTGCCTGTATTGGAAATGCCTCATCTGCTTTTATCCAGTGTAATGTAGAGAAGGTGACAAAAAGCATGAACCATCCTGCTAGATTGAGAGGAAGAGGTTAGCTTTGAATTAAACATGTCAATTATGTGTCCTAAAAAGTCAAAAAAACAGTTTTGTTGGAGGAGGAGGAGAGGATACTTGGGAAGCAGAGAAAGCATTTTGAAATATGTGGATATTCTTCATCCTCCTTAAAAGAAAACAGCAATTGTAGCTAGCACTGGGAATGTTTGAGGGGCTGTTGCATTAAAATTAAAACAATTGTGCTTTGTGTCTTAAAGTGTATTCAGGCTTGTTTGGGCTAGTGTAAACTCTGTCCATCCTGCTCTGTCACGTATGCATCTGCGCTTTCTTTGTCTCTCTTAAGCACCAAGTCAAGTTGAGCTTTTCTGTAATTTGTTGTGGTGTATTATGGTACTGTTAGCCTGTCTTACATGGCATTAAAAGTGAAAATGTTGTTAACCTCCTGTCACATTAGACTCTTTGAACTCCTTTCTGTTCTCTGCTCCTAGAAGTGAACAAAGCCATGAATCCATTAATGACACAGTTCTGATTATGGGAAGGATCACCTACTTATGTGGTAAAACAAGCATGTCAAAAAATGTTCGATGGCTTTTCTGAAACGTATATAGTTTCACCAAACTCAGTGAGGATGGAAGTGTCCATGACTTCCAAGAGATATTGAACATCATCATTGTCATGTTATTCTGAGGTTCAAGGAAGAAGAGGAGAGTGATAGGATAGGATCACATTGTTCCATAGGTTTCAGATGACCAGAAATGGCTCCAGAAAGAACTATTAATGAGAAAAAATACTTCCATAAAGTTTTGTGAGGAGCTTGTCCTCGTGCTTTTCCACCAGCCTTCTCAACGGAATGCACCAGTGCTGGTGTAGAAGCAAGTGACTATTGTGCTCTAATAACTGGTCACTTCAGACAGGTACAAATGCCATACACGCTTGGTGTTGGGAAGTTGGTTGTTGGGTAAGTGACTAGGGTGATTTCTGAAATAATTTTGTAGGGATGCCTGAAACAAAAGTTGGGTTTGGGGAAATTGCTTGCTTTATTAAAGTGTTGTGAGCCATTGCATGTTTCCATAAAGCACATTCTCTAAGAAGTGATAAGGTTAGGCAATACCATACTTACTCCTCGTTCTGAAGTGACTGATGGATGGCAAGGGAGATCCACGAACACAAGCAAGGAAGAGTCCCACTAGCGAGGAGTTCTAGTGTATGTACTCAAGGAAACCAGCATCTCATGCCTTTCTAGTCACACCATTACTAGCTTTTGTAGGAGAGAGAGGTTGGAAGGTAAGGTGTTATATTTCTTAGGACACGATGAACCCACTTTTGTGACTCATGAAAACTCAAGCAGACAGACTTCAGGAGAGGAGCGTTCAGTGGTATGGTTAGCCATTGAAAGAAGCATGCACTTGGCTGTCT